GATCTCTCCTCCCACAGGTCACGAGAGTGTGGCCCTTCCCTGGCAGGCCCAGATGCTTGGTCCCTCTCAACTTCTCGGGGGACTCTGCTAACTGCTGTCTTGGGCCAGTCAATAAAGATGCTTCCACAAGCCAGCAGACTGGTTCACTGGTCCCCTCCTCTCTGCAGACCAGCCCCAGTTCAGCCAGGTTCTGGCCTGGGCAGTGGCTGCAGTAGACCACAAGTCCCAGGCTGCTGACTGTTGGGCTGCTCTGCCTCTGCAAGCCTTCTCCCCAGGCCCTCAGCCAGATTCCTTCCTCCCCTAGCTCTTGCCACCCTTGGTCACCAGTGCCCTTGCTGTTCCAACTAGGGTCACCCCAGCGGTGGGAGCAAGTGCTTCCTCTCGTAGGGACAAGGAGCTCGCATGAGTTAAGAACCCAGAGGCCATGCCTCCGTGCGCGTCTGTCGACAGCACACTAGCCCTCACATGCTGTGCCCTACAGGCTGCTCACACATGCCCAGCCCTTCTCCTTACAGGAAGTCTGCCACGGCACACCCCAAGTCTGGACTGCTCGTTCTAGCAGGTTCCAGGGCCATGTCCAGCCTGATGAGGCCCTGTCCTGCTGTGTGCTTCTGCTTCTGGCCCCCAGCACATGGCTCCAGCTGCCAGACCACACAGGGCAGTGGACATATGAGGAACATGAGGGTGGCCTCCCTCTGAGTCCCCTGCAAACCTGTGATCCTCACATGACAGCCCAAGTGGGCACATCGAGAAACTTTTAATTTATCCATGACAGGGAGGAGAAAGGGGAAGGGTCTGGAGCTAGAGCCCGGTCCCCTGCCCCCTCCCCTCTTGTCCCAGATGAAGAGGGGCTTGGCTGAGTGGGCCAGCAGAGGCCTCAACAGGCCCAGGGTGGCCCCTTGAATCCAGGGCCTCTAGGATGGCAAGCAGATGGTGGCCAGTGTCACTTGGGTGGCCGATATGCCAGCTTCCGACTCTTCAGGACTGACCACTTATGCCGCTTCATGGCATAGATGAGGGGGAGCAGCAAGCCCATCATCAGCAGCATCTGGGGGAAGCACAGGCTCAGAGAGGGGAGGTGGGGACCCCAATGACTCCCGCCCCTCTGGCACCCCCCAGCCCCTGCCTGGCCACCTCACCTTGAGCCCCATGCGTTTACGGTGGTCATGCTCTGGCTCAGACGCCCAGCGCAGGAAGGTACACACGTCCTTGGCTACCTGGGACATGGTGGCTGGAGTGCCTGGACCAAAGACAAGGGGGCTCCCCCTCAGGGCTCATGCCCGACCTGTGGTGACACCACACTCACAAAGCAGAGACTGGCAGTGCCCAAAGAGACAAGACCCCCCCCACACGCAGGGTGGTGAAGACTGCCCCAGCCCTCAGACATGCCCCCAGGAAGGTTCATGCCCCTCTTAGCCCAAGAGCAAGACACCGCCTCTCACCATCGTCAAACTCCAGGACATCGGTGTAGATGGGAGGGGCCATGCCAATGGACTGGCCAGGGAAGTAGGGGTTGAAGTAGAGGCCTTCGCGTAGCGACACCCCAGTGGGTGGTTCACAGTAGCCCGTGAGCAGGGAGAAGACGTAGTCCTCACCCCCGTGCCTGGGCAGACAGATGTGCTGAGTCCCTGGGGGCAGTCCCTGTGCCAGCACCCCCTGGGGCAGCTCCTACCTAGCTCGCACGATGTAGCTGAGGTCCGGGGGCAAGGCTCCATTGTTGGCAGCTCGGGCAGCCTCAGGGTTGGGGTACGGTTTGGGGAAATAGTCAGACAGCTTTCCTGGCCGCATGAACATCTCCCCATCTTCATTGGGGCCATCCTGAACTTCCACCTGCCACCAAGAGTCCCATCACAACCCTGCCATCCCCCCAAGAGCTGCACAGGCGCCCCAGCCCTGGGCTCTCCCCACTCCCAGGCCCCACACCTCCTCGGCCAGCGCCTTGGCTTCCTCCTCCGTGTAGCACACGCCCACTAGGTGGCGGTAGGCCACATAGTCCATGCTGTGGCAAGAGGAGCACACCTGCTTATACACCTGGAAGCCCCTCCGGATGCTGAAGAGAGGGAGAGAGTTAGGGAAGCGAAGGACTCCAGCCACCCAGCCCGCTCAGAAACACCGGCCAGCCAGCCGCCCACCTGGTGTGGTCCAAGGAAGAGAGGAGGCCACGGTGCGTCCACGGGTAGCTGGGAGGGTGCAGCTCCAGGTCGCTGGCGCTCACGGCGGAGTGCAGGGCCACAGCCAGCCCTGCGCCCCCAGCCGCCCGCACGCCCA